TGAAAAGCTGTTTGTTCACAATTTTGCTAATCAGTGACTTTTTAAGGAGAAGAAGTGAGATTTCAGCAAATTATTTTCACCCTTTAATATACAATTCTTAGTGTGGCTCTAAGATAAGCAAGAAAATTTCAGAGAAAGCTCTTTTTTGGTGCAAAATCAGCATCGTTCACATGTAGCCAATGATACCGTGTATCGCAGCGATCCTTGGCCTTTCTCGCACAGGGCACGGCGCTGTGGCCTTGGATGTTTACCCTCAGGGGTCACTCCGTTGCTGTGTGTTTACCTCCAAATAGAAAACTATGATTGTGTCAATCTGGTCCATTCACTGACAACCGCCTACCTCTCAAACAGAGGACAAATTATTGGGAAATTGTGGAGAAACACATGCCCCTCTTTTCCTTCAGCAAATAGTTACGGCACCCCCTCTCTGTCTGGGCAAAGCACCCTATGCAAAGTGTGAAGCTGCTAGCAAAAAATATATATATATATATATATATATATATATATATATACCTTGAAAACATTGCCACCAGCACAGGCACACCACATCTTAGCTCTATGGATTCTACTCTTGTGGTGATGATATAATACTCCAGTGATCTTCAGTCGACCAGGTAGCGCCAAGACCTTCCAACGTGGCCACCCGGGGCCCGGTGGCTACAGCAGAGAGTAAACAGGTGGGAGCAGAGACCGCTATCTCGCGTATCTTTGCATCTGCAACATTGGTTGACTCTGCAATACCCATCCTTTTGCCAAGCCCAGAACTGACATCCATGACGCTTGTGCAGCAGATGCGGATCTCTGTCGATAAACGCAGGTGTGAGGGGTGGAACCCAGGACACGGCTCCATAGCTCAGCAGCTTTTCCGCCCACCAGATCGGTCCTCTCCGTCTTCCCGAGTTGCAGCGGAGTCCCAGGGCCCGTGCACAGGTCCTAGGTGCTGAGAGGAGGGAGGGGCCATTTGTCAGAGGATCCCGTGTCCCAGCCCTGCCCCGAAGGAACCACATCGGCCAGGAGGCCCTCTTTTCATCGCTGGTGATAACAAGCTAGAGTTGCATCAAAACTGCAAGAGAAAAAAATCCTTAGAAATATTTTTTAACCGTCCACAGACATTTAACAGTCTGATGCATGTAGAGTGTTTGGCGTGTTTTTAATTGCTGACGGGTCCTGGAAAAGGAAGAACAAAGAGTGTTGCTGATATTTATAAGTCTTTAGAGAGAGCGGGTGTGAGTGCCAGTCGCCAGCAGCAGCAAGAAATCTTTGTGGGGCAAGACTGCCCCCTTGTGACCAATGTTGGCTTAACTATTTATGTGCATTCCTCTAGAACAGCGGTTCTCAACCTTCCTGATGCCGCGACCCTTTAATACAGTTCCTCATGTTGTGGTGACCCCCAATTTCATTGTTACAAATTGAACATAATGAAAGCATAGTGATTAATCACAAAAACAATATGTAATTATATATGTGTTTTCCGATGGTCTTAGGCAACCCCTGTGAAAGGGTCATTCAACCCCCAAAGGGGTTGAGACCCACAGGTTGAGAACCACTGCTCTAGAAACAGACGAGCGGCCTGCTGGCAGGAGCTGCAGGGACAGGCGGCTCCTCTACCTTGCACCCCTCACCCTCTCGCAGTCCCGCGTCCCCATGAGGGGCGCTGGGTGGAAGGCGCCGCCATTGGACTTAAGAACATGCGGCCGCTGCGTGGAGAAGGCCTCACTTCCCTCCCGGCCGCTGTTCTTAAACGTCCCCCAGAAACAAGTGAACTGCAGATGCCGGAGGGGGTAACGTGTCAGTTCCTTCCGGCCACAAAGCTGACCTAGATGTTTTGCAGTAACGAGAGACTGCTGTTCAAAACACTTCCGGTGACTTTTTTTTAAATATATTTTTATTGATTTCAGAAAGGAAGGGAGAGGGAGAGGGAGATAAAAACATCAATGATGACAGAGAATCACTGATCCGCTGCCTCCCACACACCCCACACTGGGATCAAGCCTGTATGTGCCCGGACCACAGATTGAACCATCACCTCCTGGTTCATAGGTCAACGCTCAACCACTGAGCCACACCAGCCAGGTACCTTCAGTGACTTTTAACACTGTGGCGAGTTTCCCCGACGGTGAGGTGTGTGCATGGGCGCTGTCCCATGTGGCCCTTCCTCCTCCTGTTCACCAGGCAGTTACCTGACTCAGCAGGCACTTCTTCAGCCCTACTATGTGCCCTGTCGCTGGGACCCCATGCCCTCGCTCCCCGGCGGAGGGTGTCCCACCAGCAGCAGCATCACAGCCCCCACCCCACCCACTGACAAGATCCCCTCGGGGTTTGAATTAGAGCGAGCACCAGACTCACCTGGAGGGCGTGTGAGAACAATACCGACACCAGCATCCGCCTCCAGAAACACTGATGCAGTGGGGCCTGCAGCAGGGCGCTGAGCCTTTGAAAATCTCCCGGGCGATTCAAACACGCAGCCAAGTTGGGAGCCACTAAGGGGTAAAAGGGAGAAATTAGAAATAGTTCCTCATCACGTCTCCCTGAGCTACGTGAGGACGTGATGGAGCATCTGATGCTTGGAAGGTCTCTCCAGGAGCCCATGCCTCTCGGAGAGAGAGCACCAAGAAGGGCCTGGCGACAGAGGGCAGGATGTCTGTCCTGTGGGACAGGAAGGGGGGGGGAGTCCTGGAGGGAGGAGGAGGAGGAGGGGGTTGAATGGGAGAGAGAGGCAGAGAGCCCTAAAGCGTACAGGAGGCAGCCGATCAATGATTCTCTCTCCTCATTGATGTTTCTCTCTCTCTCCTTCTCCCTTCCTCTCTGAAATCAACAAATATGTACATGTATTTTAAATATGTATGGGAAATAAATGGAGAAAATTCTGTATAAAACAAGAGGATGGGCGTGTGCTTATTTGCCTCCCTTCCAAGGACCCATTCAAATAAAAGCAAAAGGCCTTTAAAAGCACTGAGCCCACATCAGCAGAGGTGGGGGAGGGGGACGGGGAGGGGCAGGGAGGCCTCTCCCCCATTAAGCTGAGGCCTCTCTCTCGGGGGGAGCGGAGCAGACCCCGGAGGTTCCCTTTGGGGGGGGGGGATTCGTGATATGCGGCTTCTCTGGACGTGGGAGGGAGGCTGCTCTGGGCACTGCCCGCAGGTGGCACTGCCCTGCCCGCGGGGACTAGCAGGGGTCACCTGGAGGCCAGACTGTGCTTCCCGGAAGGCCGAGGTCTGGGACCCTAATCTCTCCCCTGGGCCCCCAGGGCCTGCGTGACCCGGCTGCTCTGCCTCATTAAGACTCTGGCTCGGTGTGACAGGCACGTACGGTGACTGAGAACCTAGATC